ATCAAATTATATATTACAGTGTAACACAACATAAAATGATAATTCTGATCAAATTATATATTACAGTGTAACACAACATAAAATGATAATCCTGAGACAATACATCATCTATTCACAGTTTACTTATTTTCCTCAGAGTGTCTGCCAAAGAGATTTGCATATCACCAATCTTGAGGCAATTCCCACATAATTTTATGTAAATTGTACTACTACATGATGATGTCATGATGTGACAAAAGCCCTCCACTAATAGGAAGGTTACACACCTCCATGTGCAATAACTCCCCTTATGTGCTTCATTCTCCTCCTTAGCATTGTATTATACAGACGTGCTCAAATTTCTTGTCTACGTTCAATGTGTTGAGACTTACATCTTTAACAAAACTTTGATTTTTATTTTCCTTAGCTTTTCTTTCAAAGGCTTTATATTTTTATCTTGAATTCTCAAATGACGGTGATTTATACTTAGTACTGAGTGTGTGACAGATTCACATTTAGAATTTATTCTGCTATGGCATTAGGGAGGCTTGTTAGCTGTTGATGTTGTTGGCCATTGTTCAACATGTGTGGATTACCACATGCTTCCTGGGCCTTCCATTCCTGTCTTGTTGGCTGAATTTCTTCTTCCTCAGTCAACAATTTCTATTGGACTGTGCCATTAACCTGTTTTGCTTTAGGTAGATTCTTATCAATCGTGTATGACCTTAGCCTTCAATTCTCTCTCTGGGTTTTCATTCTCAGGTATGTTTTTCCTTATATTTTGCCTGTGTTCTTTATTATTTTTTGTTTTATCATTTCATGACCACCTTTTCTTGAGTTTGCATTGTCTTTTATTCTTGTTTGTTATTCAGTTTTATACTGTTTCCTGTCTCTAATAACTTCTTTCTCATGCCCAAATTCCTTATCCCGCTCTCTTTAGTTGCTCATTTTGTTCTTTTTGTGGACTTTTCTTCATTTCCTTTACTTGATTCCATTTCATTGATATCTATCTGACCAACTTGGGGATCAAGCCCCTTACTTTCACTTTTCCATTCCCTAATCATTTATTTTTGTCTTTTTCTCTATGCCTTCCTGTGCTTCTTCTCCTATCTTCACTTTTTTACTGCTTCAGATGGTCTCTGAACATACTCCTTCCTTTCTCTATTTGACCTTTGTTACTTCTTCTGTTCTCCTGCAGTTGGAACTCTTTGGGTTGGGTTATGTCCTTTCCTATACTCTTTCCTTTTTTCTTGTGTACTTATCATTACCCTATCTCCATTTCTTTGCCCAGATGTCTGCAGTGGTTTTTCTATCGCCCTCGTAACCTGAACTGATATACTTCGAATTCTGTCCTTGTTCTCTTCTATGGTTTTTTCCTTCTTTCTTGACCTTACCCTTTACTCCTATTCCTTGTATAGATCAGCTTCCTGCTAACCTTCCCATTCTGCATTGCAAGCCTTCTGCTTTTTCTTACAGATGTCTTATTTGTCACTCTCGTTAGTGTCTATCGCACACATACAATGGTTGGGTATCCATTTCTTCTCCTGCTGTTGCTCTCACTTTCTGCCATTAGTCATTTTTCATTTCACTATGTTGGTCTATTTCCTCATTTCTTTTCTCCTTTCCTATTCTCCTCCCTACCACCTGATCTGTGGTCTTTTTTACCCAGTCTATAGTCAGCCAATGTTTAATGTATCAGGCATTTTTCTCCACATTTTCTTAGCCTGTCTTCCCTTTGTTCTCTCTGTTCTGTCCATCCTTTTTGTATTTTCCCATTCCTTGCTCTTCTATTGGACTCAGTGTTGGTCCCTCTTCCATTTGTTAGTTTTGTGAGGGCCTTCACTTGCCATAATCATGATCTGGGGCTGAACTTCTATTCATTGACTATTTATATCTGTCAACCCATTCTCACCCCAGTTACTCCTGACAGTAATTCTATGCACCACCTTTCTGCCATTTTTACCTAACTGTTTGTTGATGGATTCTTGGTCTCAACCTTTTCCAGTAACCAGAAGTGTTTCTTCCCCTGTTCTATCCACTATGTTCCCCTCCTTCATTCTTTTCAGTCCTATTCCCACATCTCCCTTGCCTGACTAAAACCTGAATGAGGTTTTGCATATGTGCCCCATTAGATCTGTTGATTTCCTGTTTTTGTGCCATCTTTATATCCTGTCTAGTTTCTTCCTACCTCTCTCCTGCAATTACCATTGTTCCAATGTCTTTCTAATAGATGCTTATCTCACCCTGTTCTACCTCACTTATCTTTTCTTCTTCTTGAATCTACTTTCTCTTCCTCAGACTTCAACCACTTGGGAGGTATACCATACTTCTCTCCTAGCTCCTTTCCTTTTGTCTCTCACGTATTGGACCATTTGCACCCTTTTCAGCTCCTGTGTCCTATTTGGTGTGCTTTATCACAGACCTCTTCCTTTAGAGGTTCCTGCCTTCATCTGTTTCTTCCTTGGGACCCTCTTTTCCATGGTCCTCTTTACTTCCTTGGGACCCCTCTTTACCATGGTCCTCTTTACTTCCTCTCTTATGAGATAGGTCTGTCAACTTCTTCATTGACATGTTAATTTTGGGATGTGAATGCTTGCACACTATTTCATCTTTCTTCACATTTTATTTGTCACCTTTTTCATCCTCTTACATCTCTTCTTTGCCTGCCCTTGGACAGATTTCTCCAAACAGTCATGTTGACTCTCTCCACACATACATTTCCTTCTATATGCTTTTTGCTTCCACAGGTCACCATTCTTCACTCATCCTCCCATTTCTGAGAGGAATACATATTGTTACTCTTTCAGAAACATATGCCTTCGTTGCCTCGAAGTTCCTTGAAGAGTGAGACAATTTTCAACTGTACAACATAGTGTAACTACACAAGGAAGATTAATTTACAGCAAGTAGATTAAATATAGTGTAACTACACAAGGAAGATTAATTTACAGCAAGTAGATTAAATATAGTGTAACTACACAAGGAAGATTAATTTACAGCAAGTAGA